GGCTGATGTTTTAACTACATGAGGAACATTCATGAATGTTCGCTTATTTAAAGGCATTGATAAAACCTTGGCATTCGTGACGTTTCATTTTTTAGGATTTTAGTTAACCCCCAAAAAAAAAGAAATCGGACGGGAGTTTTTCTTTTGGGAAGTGTGAGATAAAAAGCTGTTAGAGTAGAACTGATGGTCGCATCTAGGTAGTTCCACAATAAAACGTTGAGACCTAATTGCCAATCTAGTAAAATACCTTCATGCCCTCATAGCACCAGGAAAAATGTGTGCGTGTGTAAAGACGAAGAGTAACGAAATGCCCCAACCCCAAAACGCTGAAAATACTAATGCAATTGAAAACTTGTCGCTTCACCCAATTATTCTTGTTATTTACTTAGACTGAAAAGTGTTTGGGCGCGTATAGAACACCACAGAAGACCGTGCTCAAAACGCTGTAGTAACGAGTTTGAATCAATCGTTATCTTCTTGTTTCCTCTTCTTTTATTGCTCTCTCTCTCTCCCCTTAATAATGTTTCTCTTATATTCATTCACACTATAATCTTCTCTGAGTTAGTTGTTTTGTTGCCTTCCTTGGGGTGAAATGCTTAATAAAGTACTTATTTGTGTCTCATCAGAGATTAATTCTTAATTACTGAACTGTACGATTTGCTTTAAGCTCTACCACTGTGAGCATTATTCTATAATATCGATTTATTCTACAATACAGTGATAAAAAGCAACTGAATTTAAGCCTGTCATTGCAACGTGGTATCTGTTCTTCCTTACGGCAGTAAATGTTAGACACTATCCTCAAAGATGAAGAAACACGGAGCAACGGAGGTATGGTTCTACAGAAGAATGCTGAGATTACCATCGAATGAACATGTGAGCAACGATGACGTTTTGGGGGAGAATGCAAACAGAAAGGAAACTCATACTTAACATCAGGAAGAGGAAGCTGAAATTTCTGGGACACGTAATGGGAAAGGAGTGCTTGGAAAATCTGATACTCAGAAGGCGGACAGAGAGAAAAAAGTGACAAGGGAAATCAACGCGTGACATGCTTAAAGAGCTTAAGCAAGTGGATGGCAGAACAGGGTCTGGTAGAAATGTTTATTGAGAGCTACAAGGGACAAGAGAAAATGGAGAGCCATCGCTTACATCCTGAAGTACACGCTACATAAAAGAAGAATGGTAATATTAGCCGTTTCCATATAAAAAGCCATTAAACTGACCGAGTAGCCAGTACTGTTTTCGGTTGAAATTTATAAAATGTTTCTCTTAAAATACTTTTATCGCACTTTCCAGTATTGAAATGGTTTGGAATGTTAATATCTTCATTGTGCCATTATTTTCTCTTCGAGGTACGTGTGCTATCCGTTTTAGTTGTTGCTGCTGTTGGTAGTCCACAAGTGATGTGGTTTCTGCTATACAGTACTTTGTTTATGATTCTGTAGCACCAACCCATACTGTTCGCCAAGACTCCAGATAACAGGGATTATGATGAAAGCCATGACATTAGAAACATATTAATGTTTATTTCATACAAAAGAATTCTGCTTTTGCTTTGGTAGTCTTAAAGTGATACTATTCGAAAAAAAAATAATTGTCAATGTCTCATTTAGTAAAACATTCATGGTAAGGAAAAGAGTAAAATCAATTTATATAGTTTATATTAAGAATTTAGCTCAGAGCGTTACCATACAATGATATGGCACACAGAAATTGATCATAACACCGATTTTGAAACAAATATAAGAATCCTTCTAAAAAGAAACGCCGACAAGAAACTGGCAGTCACAATAGAGGGGGAAATATTTTAAGAAGCCAATAATTTATCCACTGGAGCGTTGCTTTTAGCGGTAATAAAGTTTGCTTTGCAAAACAAAAATATTTGTGTCTGAATTATATGAATATCACACGGAGTCACAAATTTGCTAAGAAACAGAATATCTCCTGTCCCCCAAATATAAGTAAACGATGGAAGATAAAAAATATATATCATTTCAATAAAATAACTTTTGATCATCAAGGAGAATTGGTTCTTTGCCCTGAAAAGACAAAAACAAACAACAAAAAAATAGTATCAATTTTGCAATAAGTAATGATAGTACATAAAAGATAATAATCTATATCTTCAGATCCCGAACAACGCGATGAAAGCCTAGAAATAAAAAAAAAATATATTACTTTCGACGTCCTTTTGCTTTTTATATATGTTTTGTTTCTTCTCTCCTGTGGAAAACGAATTCATAATTTTTACACACACAATACTACCATCCATCCATTCATCTAGGCGATGAACACTCGACCAGAAGCCTAGAATTGGTTCATTGCTCTTGCTTTCTTTTACAAATCTTATTGGAAATACCAAATTCTTTTGCGGGGACGTTGTTATATTCAGAAAGCGAAGGAAAAATCAAAACTGACCATTAATTAAGAGAATTGCAATTCGCAGTGGTGAGCAAAAGGGACAAGCCGTGATATGTGTTACATATCAGGGACGTCAAAATTCGAAAACAAAATGCGTTATACAAATAGCCTAAGAGAGTTTATAGAAACAGAACAAGTTAATAAAACATAACAGAATAAACCAAGAAAAGATTAACGAACTGGTGTGTGATGTAGCTCCTCTAGTATGGCAGTAGAATCTGGAGGATTCCGTTATTAAATAAAGAAAAGTATTTAAGCAAAAGAGATGCAATTCTAGCGATAAAAGTTTAGAATGCCAATGAGAAAGCAAACGAAAAATGAGAAAATTCTTAACAGAATAGAAATCGTAAAGGATCTGTCGTAAAAAAAAATCGGAAACTCATCGCTAAAATATTTGGGACACATAGTAAGGAAAGACGATCGTCGATGTGATGTAATGGTAAATAAGCTTGTCTCGCTAGATAAATTAGTATTGAGTTCGATCCTCATTGTGTACTCCATACTTGCGTCCTTCTGTCACATCTAACATACGATTAGTAAATTGCTATAGTGAAGAAAGGAAGCTTGGAGAATTCAACACTCACATGAACTCTCGAAAGCAAGAGAAGCGAAGAAAGCAAATGCTAATGAACTTGATAAACTTGCAAAATAAAGAGAAGAATAAGTAACATAAAGCGACAGGCGGTACACAGAGGATCAAGAAGGACATGAAGCGAAGCTGTGGAGAGACATAACCATCCAATGCTCACAGTAGAGAGAAGAAAAGAGAGCAACTGAACATGACACTGTGATAAACTCTTTTAGCTCAATATTGAGCTAATAAGTACATATTCTTATTGGGGAGTGCCGGAAAAATATTACGGTTTGATACAAAGCTTATGACTGAAGGTAGATAAAAAACGATTTGCGTTTATGTCCTCCTGTTATTCCCATAGAAAACTCTCATTCCATAACTCTCTAACATCACTGACTTTGAGGTCTTGTATTAAATTCATAATCAGTGAAAAATGTAACCTTAACTACAAAGATGATATAACTCTGTACAGCTTGCCCAATCCTTCAGTTTAAATCGTTTGTTTGACTGTCTTTATACATAAATACGTAAATAATTAAAGAAATACATCTGTCCATTGTCTGTCGCTATCTTTCTCTCCGTCTCTCACAAACACAAACATGTACATACACACACACGCACGAACGCCTGCGCGTAAACAATATATTGATGTCAAGTCCCATTCGTGATACTTATTTGCCGATCAAGTCTCATGCGATTCATGACTAAGAGGCTGAAGATATTCCCGCAGTAAGCGACAGTTTCTTTATGCTGTAGCCTGGTTGCCAAGCAAGTCTATAGGAGGTAGTCTATGCTGCTATCCAACCCATATCTAAAGGGTGGGTGATGAATGCTTACCTTTTTCAAGGGGATTTTGCGCTTAGCTGAATGTAACCTTAATCAGAGATGATTTAATTCTGAGCAACTTATCGAATACTTGACTTTTACGCGTTTATATGACTGTATGCATACATAAATAACGTGAAAGACACGTGCATTCTTTCTTTTTTCCCTCTTTCTTTTTTTCTCTCTTATTCTTTCACTCATTCTCTCTCTCTCTCACACACAGATTCTCTCTCTCACTCATTCTCTCTTTCATTCTCTCTCTCTCACTCATTCTCTCTCTTTCATTCTCTCTCTCACTCATTCTCTCTCTCACTCACTCATTCTCTCTCTCACTCATTCTTTCACTCACTCATTCTCTCTCTCACTCATTCTCTCCCTCTCACAGTCATTCTCTCTCTTTCATTCTCTCTCTCACTCATTCTCTCTCTCTCATAGTCATTCTCTCTCTTTCATTCTCTCTCTCACTCACTCATTCTCTCTCTCTCAATCATTCTCTCTCTCTCACACCCATTCTCTCTCTCACTCATTCTCTCTCTCTCACACACATTCTCTCTCTCTCATTCTCTCTCTCTCTCACTCATTCTCTCTTTCTCTCACTCATTCTCTCTCTTATAAAACACGTATATAATGTATATTTATGTACAAAAATTAGTTGTTAAACTAATTTTTGTACATAAATATCAACCGGCAGGGTCTTCCTGATTCAATTTTTATTGTATTATGCAAGTTTTCGAATTGGTTGTTGCCTCTCAAGATGAAAATTCTAAATACGCTGTTCATCATCGCATATTTTAACCATCTCAGTCATTAATTAGTAAATATTGTCGGTAACGTAAGCCATGTTTCTTGGTTACATCCTGGCATTATTTAAAAGATTAGATACTAGATTCTAATATTATATATGTAACGGATTGTGTGGAACGGTTTCACAGATCTTGATAACACTTGAAACGACTATATACATTTTATAGACCTTTTATTTCACACCTATATTAAACATTTTATACACATTTTAAAATACTATTGCCATGTACTAGAAAGTATTTTATTTAAGACTTTGTTTCTTGAAATACTTAATATGTATTCGAGATATATAGATTTTTTTGTGTTATCTATATATTTGTCCTTCGTTAATATTTTTATTCTGTTTACTTGTGAAATAAGCGATATGTATGAATAAGTGACAAGTTAAACTGCAAGAAAATGTGCTGCATAGAAATTTAAGTTTTGTTTGTTATAATTGGAGATGAATTCTCTAATATCATAAATTGTTGCATTAATTCTCTCTGGTTAGATTAAGTTAAGTTAATAATGTCATTATTTATTTATATCAAAGTGTTTGTTTAGAATATTTTGCTAAAGTTCATTCAGGATAATTTCATTTAATTGTCGATGACGTTATTGGGGAATATTTTGCAGATCAGGGTTTGTTATCTGTTTCCCTATTCTTTCTAAAATAAACTATGTGAAGACCATATTATAATATCTTGGTTCATGGCTAATTTTTTATTAGGGAGATGATGTTTTTGCTTGCAAGTTTTCATACATAGAAATAGTAAGTTTGTGACTATAAAAAAAACTGATGAATCTAGTAGTAAAATTGTGACTATAAAAATGTACTATCATTAATGTTATTTTCGTAAGTATCTCCTCACACATACAAACATATCTATCTATCTCTATATATATAAGTACATTTTTATATATCAAGAGCAGTTTTAGGAAAATGTATGAAAAAATAGGAAAAATTTACGACGATGCCTTACTGTATAAAAGACGCGTAAGAAATGTTTTCTAAAATTTGTGATATATTTTCCGACCATATTTTCCATATATATATATATATATATATATATATATATATATATATATATATATATATATAGGGTGATTGAAAAGTAAATCCCCATTTTAAGATACTTATAATTTATTTATTAACTATAAATTTTACAAGATATTTATATGAGAAGAAAGCGTTTAACATGAGGTTTTATTTAAAATTCGATATAGGCACCAGCTTCTCGAGTCGCCTAGGAATCACGTCAACTGATTTCACCAGGAACTCTTGTGGTATTTTTGACATAACTGCTTGTATTCTCTCTTCAAGTTCTTCCAAAGTTTTGGTTATGTAAATTAGACTTGCCACTTTAACCAACCCCAAAGAAAAAAAGGTCACAGGCTGTTAAGTTAGGTCTTCTGGCTGGCCACTCATAGATAAATAAGGAGTTACTTTTCAATGAACCTCGTACAGTAGAAAATATCGATTTAAATTGATCGATTCGTGTAAGTATAAGTAATTTACATAATTATTTCATCGGTGAAGCCGTGTAGACTATTAATTCAGTAGAATATTTTTGATAATTCTAGCAAAGAACATCACGTGGTGCATAGAGTTTCAGCATTGTTATTCTTACATTGACAGCACGATAGGGAAAACAAAGAAGCATAGCGTTGATTTCAGACAGAGAATTATTAACTTCCTAAAGTCGGGAAATACAACACTTATTTAAAACCGGTTAGCTATCCCTAGATCTACGGTACAATCCGTTGTAAAGAAGTTTAAACAGTTTGGCACGACGGAAAATTTGCCTGGGATATGAGTGTGTGTGTGTGTGCACACACGCGTGTTTATTTTTTTATCACTTTTTCAACACTATTTTAGCATACAAAGCCTAACCGCATGGATTTAGTGAGTTGGACGCGCGTCACGTTTTTAGCTTGTATAAGCTGCTGATTGGTTAAAGAAACCCGCGGTATTAGTTGCTTTCCAGCTCACTACAATCTTATCCGCTTGTGTATAAATCGTTGTCTATCCTAATAATGTTCACTTTCTATCACTTCTTTCTTCATTCATATTACAGACAACAATCACTACGGCTATTTTAACAATAACGCTTTATACAGTGCCGCTTTCGAGACTTGTGAACTTTAGTCCAAAAACGTTCGAATTTATATATGAGAGGAATCTCACAAATCTTGAATACAAATCAAGTCTCTCAAGTGATGGCGGGTGATTGACGTCAGCCGCTGGTAGTGACATCTCGTTCGTTGACGCACAGCAGTTGCAGTGTCGACTTCGGGGAAAGTAGACTTAGTAGCCAGAGGCGGTAAGGGTAGTGAAGTGAACGTTCCAAGCAAGGAACATAAAAGACCTAGCCGTTCTTAATCCGGGAAATTTTACATGTAAAGACTCGCTCGATATTCTGATTTCACCGTTGTTTTATTCATATGTATTATAATTTTTTTGTGTGGGCCAAATGCTTACAGGTCCATAGATATTTGTATATAACTCTATATAACATATTTTCTAGGACATTAAATATTTTGGCATTCGTTTCTATCAGCGATGTTGTCCTTTCCTTTTATTGTTTTAAGGAAAATAAAGGATTTATTAATGCATAATATGGACACTGGAGACTAGAAATAATCAAGATATTTTTCCCTCTCTTAACAATCACACGTTATTCAAAATAAGTTTCCAAAGCGATAAGTTTCATATTTTGAGACGATTATTTTATTTTTTTGGAATTAAGGGCTCTTATAATGTGTTATGGATTCCGAGATGAAATTCGATCTCCAAGGAATGATAAACGCAGGAATAAAATATAATAAATAAATGTATTTACACAATAATACAATTGGTAATATGGTTAGTAGATCCAGAAACGTGGTTAGTAGCAATAATAATATATATACACAGTAGGTAAATCCAGTCTCGAAGTAGGACTTCCTTAGAGTCTACGTGCTTGTAACTGTGACTTCTACAAGCGGTTACCTCACCCTGTTACTCTACCTCCAACTCAATCACAATCTCTGCTCTCTATTCTGACAGACTCTGGGTATTTAACGGCAGCAGTCCAAGTACATACTGGTCGAGTCCACTTGTATGAAAAAAGGGGCGGACCCCATAACATAATGCGTAATAACTGAGAGGAATTAATCCGATCATTTTTAATTGGTTTTTCTCCGTGACCCAAAATACTTTGGGGATATGGTGGATACAAGAAAATATCTGATCGGGATTAGAGATTCGTTCTCTCAGTACTTCAATAAAAAAACTTAAAAGAAACAAATCAATTCTGGTCTTTTTAATTCGGAAACAGCGATTCATGTTCACAGAAATGCATTCATGCACAGAAAAAAAGACCAGTCTTAAGAAAATGATCAATAAACGACGCAGACTGGAATACGGGAGAATTCATCAGTAAATTATATGATTCACGCCTATACAAGAATTGGAAATTTTCAACTATTATAATTTATTTTGTTATTTTGTTTCTCAATATATGGGCATACATACAAATATATATGTTATAGTCCAGGTTAGGCCCAAGGAAGAACAACACGAACACAAGAGTAGAAATAGCGAAGGTATATTACACGAAATAATAATACAAGATGTGGAAGGTGTTAGTATGACTGTCAGTTTGGTTTGGAGTGAACAACTATCGGCTCGACTCGATTCACTATTTACTTGCCCCCCACCCTATCCCACAAGGCTGAGTTTTACGTGGGTTTTCAGAGCCCGTAGGCTCGGCAAAAAAATGCCCGTAGAGACTGTAAAAACAGAATCGGGTTGGTCAACCTCACCGAACGAGACTTTGCCCTTCAGTGGAGCCTCGTCCGGGTTCCTCTCTGCTCAGAGGCAGAGAGTTCGACCGTCAAGCCGAGTAGCTCGACTCGATTCGGAATGTAGCCACCCCTTCTCACGAGGGTTGCCTGTGGCACAAGGCCGAGTTTAACGTGGGTTTCCTGAGCCCGTAGGCTCGGCCAAAAAATGCACGTAGAACCCGTATAAACGGGATCGGGTTGCTCAGCCCCCCCGAACGAGACTCTGCCCTTCTCTTAAAATAAAATATAATATTATATATATATATATATATATATATATATATATATATGTGTGTGTGTGTTTGTTTGTGTGTATTTAGACATTTAACTAACTTAGTTACATCCCTTGATCATCTGTCACATGCTTACATCATAAAATTTTAAGATTGTACAGTACATAACCTTAGCGTTTTTCAGCTCACAAGTGAAAATTTAAGTTTCAGATGAACCCAACAATTTTTGTCACAGAATAAAATACCCTGATAATAACATTGTGATAATGTCGAAAGTACTCGGAATAAAATGAATATACATCAAAATGGTAATTTTCTTTTTTTCTTTAATTAGGATACAAAAATGTCCGTAATTACGAGAGGATCCTATTAAAAATAAGTAGAAAAAACTTGTCTAAATTATTTAATGAGACATGTCTTAATGAAAACATGCTCTCAAAATATACACATATATATATATATATATATATATATATATATATATATATATATATATATATTATAAATTAATTGATTTAAAATGTGTTTTTTTTTTCGCTACACAGTTCTAACCATGTTTCAAAAATGGAAGCTAAAAGCCCCGAATTTAATTTTGTAATTAAATTAAAGACATTAGTTCCATTTCATCCTCAAGCGTATTTTGGAGTAACTTTTAAAATGTCTGGATGTTCAATATGTCTATATTTTAATGTATCAGTTATTGATAGGTTTTGGTAGTGGGTGGGGATGTATTTTTTAATGAAATCTAACACCCCTAGTCTAACAAAATAGATTTATCTGTAAC